GGGAGCAGCAGGGTCAGGCTGCGAGGACAGCTGCGGAGCTGCAGGGCCAGGCTGGGGGGACAGGCCGGGAGAGGCAGGGCCAGACCAGGAGGATAGGCTGGGAAAGGTAGTGTCAGACTGGGAAGACACACTGGGAAAGGCAGGGCCAGACTGGGAGGACCAGCGGGGAGGGGCACGGACACGCTTTGGGTACACACTGGGAGTTGTGGTCCTCTGGATAGTCATGGGCGGCTGGGAGCTTCTGCCACCCTGTTCTCCGTGGGTCTTCAGTCCGCAGAATAAGCGACCAGTGCGGGGGACAGGCTCGCTGGCCATCCACTGATTGTGAGGTGACAGTTCACAACCTGTCAGGCGCCATGATGTTTGGTCTGTACCCTGTCGCACAGTCCTCCCCACTTTTCTGAAGCCCATTCCCTGGAGGGCCTGGCTGTGCCGCAATAGGAATGTTGCCATATGGTGGTTATATTCTTTCCTTCTGAGGGTGTCCATCACTTTAAGTTGATCGAAACCCATCTCTGCCATGTGGGTTAGAATGGCCTTCTTGGCAGGCAAAGGGAGCAGCCCAGGAGGACTGGGGGGCCGGACACCCTGGAGCCACCGGTGATGCACCAGCTCCTGTGCTGTTGGTCGCCTTTTGGCGCTCCTGTTCATGATCTTTCCAATCAAGTATTTGACATTCATAGATACGAAGTCTGGGTAACACACAATCCCATAAATTATGGTATCATTTATCTCTGGTGGCTCTCCACAGAAGAGACGCCTCCCTGTAATCATCTCGTATAATATTACCCCGAGGGCCCAGACATCCAGAGGAGGGCCTTCATAGGTGGGATACAGGAGTCGTTCCAGGGCAAAATATGCTGGCGTGCCACCAGACGCTCTCACCTCCTGCCCGGGGACGAACCGGAACGCAAACCCGAAGTCACATACTTTAACTCGGCCATAGGTGTTGATCAAAACATTTTCGGGCTTGAGGTCCCCATGTACGATACCCTGCCTGTGGCAGTAATTTACTGCTCCCAAGATGTCTCGGAAAATACTCAGGGCATCCTTCTCCTGCAGTCTCTGCCTTTTGCTCTGGAAGAGCTCTTGCCCCAGGTTGTGCTCCCTCACAAATTCTAGGACAAGATGTATTTTTTCCTTCGATTCTGTTACCTCCAGCAGCTGTGTGATGTTAGGGTGTCGAAGGTCCTTCAGTATGGCAATCTACGTTGCAATGTAGGCCGCTGGCCCCTTTGCCTTCTTTAATTCCTTTATGGTGACCCGCTTATATGTGCCATGGTGTCACCCTACAAACACCTTGCCATAGCTGCCTTGGCCAATGAGGCCCAGCACCTCGTAGTTGTCTTGAAGTTGATAACTAGGCCCGCTGGTTGTGAGGCCCAGCCAAGATGTTCCCTCGCTACACTCACCAGGACCTCCGCCTGGCACAGTGTCACGATGTCCTCTGCTCCCCATAGCACCAAATCGATTACCAAATTTTCAGCGTCAATCTCCACTCAACTCTCTCAAAGAGTCTCCTTCCACCCACAACAGACCCACCTGAGCCACGGCCTTATATAGCAAACTGCTTCTGTGATGTCACAGAACCAAGGGGCCGATGCAGAGCCAGCCATACCCACCAGGGCCACCTCACTTGTGACCATTAGGACCTTTCGTTTGTTCACAGAAAAGGTTACAAAATTTCTTGCTTGTGTGGGTTATGGAGAGTGACGTACAAGTGTTTAGAAATGAGAATCAATCCATCCGATGTTCCAAAATCCTTTTCCTTTCTGTTATACCTTTTGTTTTAGAGCTCGCATGGTGTCTACACTCAACATATCCAATTCCTTTTGCTTTAAATTCTTGCTGGTTTCAAAGTGATGCTACAACTTCATTGACATTAGAGTAATGTAATGCTCTGTTTAGGAAACATGCCGTGGCCCATTAATGCCCATGAAGCTGACAGGAAGATACCTATCATAGTCATTTCCCCACAAAGACAATTGATAGAGAAGTGCTGTGCAATTAGACAGGCCCTGGCCTTGCCTCCATTTTCTTTTCCCACAAAATGTGTTGTTTTGGAAATGTAACTTTGTGCTGCTGGGCTCCTACCCAATGTGTCAAAATGGTTTGCAGCTGTTTGAACTTTGCGTCCTTTTAGGAATGTTCGGTTAAGCTCTGTCCCCTCACAAAAAGGTTCTGTTAAGCTTCCCCCCCACCCCAAGAACGTTCTGTAACTCGGCCCCTCTGCTTCTTGAAAGTTCTTGAACTCCACCCCACCACCACCACAGCCCCGCTTAATTGAGCATGCTTACCTACCCTGCAGGTCCCTAGAGAGGGAGGTTCTCATTCCTGGTAGAGTGCTCAGCATCCTCTGAGCCCCCTGGGACTTGCCAGTGAATAAAGGCTTTTTCCCACCTCTTCCACTTACCAGAATCTTCACATGAGGAGAGCTGTGTTCCAGAGCTGCCACACTGAGTTGTAAAGCTCAGCAGTGCCTCACAGCTGGGGCACTTGGCTGCGAGAGTGACTTGTAAAATTCAGCTATGCCACTGACGTGAGCCATGAATCTGTTTAATGACAATGCAGTGTCTCATTTCTGCAAAAGCCTCAAAAGGAGGCAAAAGCAAGTGTGACTGGACAGATTCTTTGGTAAAGTGGCACAAAAAGAAAAAGATTCCGTGGAGCCAATAGACAGCAGTGATTCTTTTAGTGACAGTGCAAGTATCCTGTACAATAGCCTTCCTCCCTCTTGACCCCCTCACATAAGCCACCAGGTTTTAAAGGTAAGTAAGTGCAGGTCAGTTTGTTTATTTGTCTTTATTATTTGTATTATATTACAGTATTATAATAATTTTAACATGAATTTTTTGGGTTGTGGAATGGATCATCTCAGTTTCTGTTATTTCTTATGGGGAAACTCACGTTGATAGACAAGTGCTTTGGATTGCCAGTGTGTTTCTGAAATGAATTATGCTCACAAATCAAGGTTTTGGGGAATAGAGGTAAATGATATTATGGTTCTAATAATAATAATAAGTGGTGTGTTTTCAAATGTAATGTGAGGTCTTCATTTTTATAATGCTGTGTATGCCCTTTTTTAAGTTTCTGTGTAAGACGTACTACTCATGAAGTGCTTTTTCTTGCTTTAACACAATACCTGTCTGTTGTGCCAGGGGTGGTACACTCCTGTAATCCCACATTCTCAGGAGGCTGAGGCTGGAGGGTCAGAAGTTTGAAGCTGTTCTGGGCAATTTTATCAAAAAGGCTACGTTCTGTTCTTCAAAAATAAAAAAGGAAGAATTTCAGTAGTTGGCAGTGTA